CATTTGCGTTACATGGAGAAGAAGACCACGAGAACCTCCAACGGTTAGCCTGATGGCAAGGGGACTCTAACTCATGATCCATCTACAACTGAGAATATTTCGCGTCAGCACTGTGGTCGGTGCAAGTCGGATGCGGAATTCGTATCGACTGGGTTTCGAACCCGGTTCGCCTCATGTCTTGAGATTGTACTATGAGAGCTTATATTCCTTACTGAATTTTAGGTAAATATTATTATAAAATGCAGTTTCCACAGTCACTATAAAAGTTTAGGCCAAATTCAATATTTGAAACATAGTTTTGATTAACATGAATAGAAGGACATAGTAGCTTCAATTGCATTCTCTATGATACGAACGATTTCCCGAGATTTTAATTCAATTTTAGAACATTAATTTTCTTTATAACGGGATGGTACAGAGTTTAGTGTGTTCTATTGTTTGGCAGGTTCCTGAGGTTCATGGTTATAGCTGAATACTTGCTTATTTTATTTTGTATTTCTGAATCTATTGTGTTAATTGATTTATTCCATTAAAATCTTCTGCTTTTGAAAAAATTTGCACTCTGATAAAAATTGAAGATTGTAATTTCATAAATTAGGCGACATTTTAAATTGGAACATTTCCTTGGGAGAGTTTTCGTCCAAAGCTAAGGAGATTTTTTGAAACTTAAAAGGTTAAAGTTTTAAGTTATAAATGTCCTCAGCAATAAGAGGAATTAATTGAAAATAGCTCAGACAAAAAGATTAGCTAGCAAATATTAACACAGAGTTTAATCAAAGAAGTTTCTAGGTTCTATTCATGGCATTAACTAAACATTCATTCGTGTGCACTATTTTTAATACTTTATTTTATATATCTATTTTATTACGCCTAATGCTTTAGACGAAATTTGTATCTTTATACGTTTGACTACAGCAATATCCCCAGTTAAGCATAATGTTAGCTTGGATCATTTCTCGGACTGCTGTTTCTTTTAAAATAAAGTGACTCGTGAAATTCGAAGATCTGGTTTTAACAGAATGATCTTAACAGAATCTTGCTTTGATTAACAGAGAATAATTTAAAGAAATTATTAAGGTTTTAATTAAGCATGTTAGATAAAAAATGAATTGTTAAAGCATCAAATTAACTATTTTAATCCTCGTTTTCCTTTAATCACAATTAGCATCCTCAAAAAATTTGCTTCCAAAAGCATAATTTAACTCAGCCTTGCTTTGGTACGTTTTCTAGTCAGAGCAATAAATAAAATAAAAACAATTATTTTCGAATGAAGGTAAACAACGATAATGGCTGTGTGGAAAAGCGCAATTTTCTCAATTTGATGTATTATCGACTCAGAAAATTATAAAGGAAACGGTTCCGTTCAAAACTAAGAAAACATTTTGAAATTTTAGAATCTATTTTTAACAGTGTGACCTTAAAATGTACTATCTTAATGAGAATAAAACAATTTGTAGAAATTATCAAACACTACAACTAAACGAATCGACACTGTCAAATGAATGGGTAAAACAAATTAATTATTTAAAAAGTCGCTGTCTTTTAATTACAATTTACTATTACCAATTGAAATATTTCCGTAAGTTTAATTAAATTCAGCCGTCACCTTCATCAATTTCCTAATCAGAGCAAAATCTAAAGTAAGAACCATTTGTTACACTTTCATAAAGGTATATATTGTTAATAATTGAGAAAAGTAATTTGACGAAATATTCGCTTGTAGGAATTTTCAGGTAGCGGTTTGGAAACTTTCTTGAAATTTAAGAGTCTATTTTTAACAGTTAAAAGGAATTGTCTTGAAGAGAAAATTACAATTTATTAAAATTATTAAACATCTCCATTAAGCATGTTAGCTGTCAAATGACTAGTTAATTTAAATTTAAATACTCGCTTTCCTCTAATCACAATTTACTATCATTAAAGGAGATATTTCCAAAAGCATTAATTAAATTCAGCTGTCACGTTGATCAATTTACTAATCAGAACAAGATCTAAAGTAAGAATTAAATTTGCATGAAGGTACACATCGCTAACGAGGATTAATAGAAAGTAACTCAGGCAGAACCATTAACATCACAAAACTGATTTTTGATGTTAGATTTCCAGACAGATTTGCATAAGCATCTTTAACAGATTTCGCTTTCTTCAGAATTGCTTTTGTTTTCAGCTGCGAAAAAGTCCCCAAAATTTGTTTTTAGAAAACAACTAGACGAGAAACGTTTTTCTTTTAATGATTTTCCTCGATCTTTCTGATTTGTGTGTCGAGAAAAACTGCTTGGAAACTTTACTGAATTACCCGACACTTACACACGTTTTGTAAATCTGAAACATTTTAAGAGTTATAAGCTATTTCCTTGCTACCAATTAAGTGAATAATTTCAACTTTATGTCACTCAATTTCAACTTAATTTTATGTCAAAACACAAAGGCTATTGTAAGCAATGATAATCAGCTAATAGGAAATTTAGCCCCTTAGTTTTTGTCTATATCTAATAAGCAATTAATAAGCAAATTTCGGAGAAGAATAAAACTGAGTTTTGTCAAATTTTATTTTAAGTTGAACTTCTAATTCGTGTTTTAATTAACAGAAAAGAGGAAAATTATCAGAAAAAAGGCCACAGATGATAATAAAAAGTAACATAATTATGTCTATATAAAACTTTCAGTTTTTTGAGTGATTGAGAACTGTTGGCAAACATCGATTATTGTTTTTTAACCCTGTAAAAGAACAGTCCTCTTCCTGGTTATACATGTAAAAAAAAATCCTGGTAAAAATGTCGTGTATATCACAAAGTTTACATAACTAATTAAAAATAACAATAATCTGGCAATAAAATTAAATTATACAGTATTTAAACTATTTATATGGTATCACCTTACCGGAAATTTTGGTCTTCAAAATTGTAGTTCTTATTACTCCACAGTTAGTAAAAAATACAAAACTAAAAATTAAAATTAATCCAATAAATGGTTTTTATACTATGCTTTAAAGTATTATGATAAAATTATCAAAATTTATGAAATGTTATCGCATATTATAAAACAATATTTTATTGTTAACTTTACCTAAGTGCTTCAGTAATAATTACTGAGTATTTTAGTGTTCCCATAATACCAGAAATATGGTAAATTTAACCATATTTAGACAGTTTTGGCTATATATTTTCCTCTGTGCAGATAATAAGTTGCTAGATAATATAACTGTAAAATTGTTTCATATATTTTTCCCTTCAGTAATTATTAATGTTTCAAAGTAAAAAGATCTCTTTGTCTGTTAGTGTGTTCTTATATTTTTATCACATTTGTCGTCTGAGTTGAATAATTTAAAATGCAAGAAAAAATGAGTTATTACAGCAAATCCACTGAGCGGATATTTTATTCCTGTTAGTAAAATGTAAAACTTTTATGAATGTTAAAAATGGAGAGTGTAGTCGAATATAGAATAAGCAACCATTACTTTAATTTTCGTTCTTCAGAAAATATGATAATTATAAAAGTGAAGAAAAGAAAATAGAATTTGATTTTAAAAAAAGCATTAAAGCAGCTAGTATATTAGGGAAAAGGAGCATTGCATGAAAAAAAAAACTCTTCCTAGCAAATTATTGTTGACAAAAAAAAATATTTCTGAAATTGTTAAAAAAGTAGTAAAATGTCTGATAGTTAGGCATACTTTCTATGTTTAACAATTAAAACTGCTAAGCTTGACGGCTGTGGAGCAGTCTTAAAACCCGGAAGTTGTTTTAGGTTTCTTCTACCTTTTTACAAAAAATATGCGGAAGATTGCTATTTTCTTCCATTTATTTATATTTACTAAAGATAAAAAGAGAATTATGCAAGCTACAGAAGATTTTTTATTCTATTTAAGAAAAAGCTTTTCGAAATATATATCTGAATTAATTTTGGAGTTGAGGTAAGATACTTGAAGTTTTTTTTAAAATCAATTAGTGAAATTCACTAATTATCGATTTCAAAGTTTTTAAATCTTAAGTAGAAAGGAAAAATATATCTATTTATCTTTATAACTTTATAATGCATTATATTTAATTAAAACTTTTGCTTTGTTCCTTATTTTTTAATATGCCAAATTCTATTTTGCTTTTAGTATTTTGAGAATTCAGAATTGTTTTATAAAATGATTTCATTCAATTCAGTATTTTAATACATTACATTTATATACTCTTTTTTATATTTTCAAAATTCAGCATTGTTGTATAAAATATGCAACATATCTTAAAAGTTCTTTGCGAAAAATATATTGACAAACTAAGAGCAAGCTTATATGTGCTTAGGTACAAAAATATAATCATAAACTATGAGCAATGTTTAGTTTAAATATTACTTTTTGCATTCACAAAATTTAGCATTTTTTAAAAAATTGTTTTATTGAATTTCGTATTTCAATAAGTTAAATTTAAAATCTGCTTTCTTATTTTTTAAAATAAATTATCATTAAAATAATAAAATGAGCAACAAGCTTTAAAAGTTCTTTTTGGAAAAAATTTTAACAAATTAAGAGCAAGTTTATATGTGTATAGTTTTAAAAATATGTATACAAACTAAGAGTGATGCTAAATTTATATAGAGCATTTTATCTTAACAAAATTTAGATACTAATGGCAAATGTACTGTATACCCAAATCAATACCTAATGATAATTAAAAAAATTGAATTTTAATACTTTCTTAAATAATTTAATTTGTTTAAATTGAAAGATGTCCTTATTAAAGAAACAGCATTACTTCTTTATCACAATTCGCGACTCGACTAAAATTTAAAAATTTTATAGATGTTATCTATTTAATTATAACTTGTCTGACCACAATTTTATAAAGAATTTTAATTAATTAAATACTACGTTTTGTTTCACGTTTTTTTAATATGTTGAATTTAAATACTGCTTCAAATGTATACAAAATTTACCATTATTTTTTAAAATATGTAACATCTTTGAAAAATTATTTTTGAAAAATGGACAAACTAAGAGCAAATTTACTACATACCCTAGTCATTATCCAAATGATGATTTAAAAAAATGCATTTTAATAGTGACTTAAATAATTCGATCAGTTTAAATTGAAAAGTTTCCTTATTACCGAAACAGTATTACTTAATTATCAGAAGTCGCGACTCGACTAAAACATTTCACAAGCAGGGAGGAGAATTACACGCATCGTTTACAGACACATTTGTCTGCTCTTTTGAAATATAACGAAATTCAAGTCGTGACAATGAATTTATAAGGATTCTTCTTAGATCTTTGAAGTTTCTTAACAATCAGGAAGTTTAGAGTGGCATAACAAATTTTAACAGACACATTTCGAAAATTTAGTACTTATTGTTTGTTTATTTTCCGCAAAAATAATATTTTATCCCTATCAAAAAAGTTTGCAGTTTCAAATTTGCACTTATGATATAATAAGGAATGTTACTAAATGAAATGACGTAATTGTGTTATATCTAAACAGATAATTTATCAAGTTTTAAATAAGAAACATATTTTCTCTAAAAGCCATGTTTTTTAAGTAGACTATAAGACACCACCAGATTATTAACGTTTTCTTTTCAATCTTATTTCCATATCAAACACTCAGTTCATTACACGTTTAATGTCGGCGCTGTTTAACTTAAACAGAACACAAGTTAGAACACATATGAAATGATTACGCACAATGCTAAACGTTAACGTTGCAATTGTTTCATATAAGTTACCAGAGCCGCGATGACTCAAGGGATAGACCATTCGCCTTCCAATGAGGTGAGCCGGGGTTCAATCCCGGCGATGGCTGGTTGATACGAATTCCGCATCCGGCTTGCATCGACCACAGTGCTAACGTAAAATATCCGCAGAGGTAGACGGATGATGGGTTAGAGTCCCCTTGCCGAGGCTAACCGTGGGAGGTTCTCGTGGTCTTCCTCTCCATGTTAGTTCCATCAAAATGTCCCCCACGAAGTCAAATTTCTCCCAATACTTGATCCAGGAGTTCCCTTGTCTCCTGGATTGGGGTCAAAATTACAAGGCTACGGAGTTGAACATTAATAGCCGTAAACCCAAAAATTGGGTCGGCTGCTTAATGACGGATAAAAAATTAAATAAAATATAAGTTACCAGAGCCGTAGTGGATCAAGGGATAGAGCTTTCACCTTCTAATGAGGTGAACCGTGCTCGAATCCCATCGTTGGCTGGTAGATGAAAATTTCGCACCCGGCTAAGAGGTAGACAGATCATGAGTTACAGTCATCTTAACGTCAAGCTAACCGTGAGAGGTCTTCGTGGTTTTCCTCTCTATGTAACACAAATGCGGGTTAGTAACATCAAAAAGTCCTCCACGAAGGCAAATTTCTCCCAATACTTGATCCATGATATTCCTTGCCTTTTGGATTGGGTTCAAAATTACAAGGCTACGGAATTCAACATTAGTAGCCATAAACACAATATTGAGTAGGCTGTTTAACGACGGTTGTAAAATAAAATTAAATTAGTTCCCAAATCATAGAAACGAACTTAAAAAGATAACCCTCTTTATCTTAACCAAAAAAATTCAAACGAAGAAGACAATTTATTAACAAAAATCTTCTATTTTATTCTTAATCAGGAAGTAAAGTGAACCACATACATAAGATAAAAAGCAATAAGATCTTAATGCAACTGTTACTTAATCAATAAGCGCTTCCGTTTCTTTGAAAGAGAGAAAAAAGGGCAAACCCAGAAACTAATATCTTCAGCTTGATGGATGCGTATAGCGAAGTAAGCGATTCCATTAAGATGTCAATTTATATTGCATGCATGAAAATCTCTGGAATAGAAATTTTTTGCAACCGCATTTTTTTTTTTTTGCCACTTAGTCTCAAATAGGAATAATAAAGAATGACAGTTAGGTTCAGATATTTTCAGTAGTTCACTAAACTCTGATCATTTCTCACAGTAAAAAGGCGAAAAACATACATGAAAAATTACTGTAAAATGCACTGGAAAATAAGGTACAGTGTGCAAGAAAATAAATGGACCACGCTGAATAACTTTTGATATAATGAGCAGATCTTCACGTTTTAGGATTCAATGGTTTGAGGGCGAGACTTAAAATATGCTAATTATTTAGTGCAGGCGATGTTTTGAATTACGAAATCGAACATAAAGACATACTTTCTTTTAAAAAAGCATACCTTTCTTTTCGACGAATTCGGATTTCTGGCCCACAAACTCTAGGGATAGCTGCAGTCTAGGAAATATGGTCCCAATCATTTGGTCAGGAGATCGGTTCTAAGCTTGTACCATTTGAAAAACTTTGCACACAAAAACATACTTAGTTCAAAATTCGATTTCTCAGAAACTATTTGACCAATTATGCTCAGATTTTGTATTTTTGCATGCAAAATAAAAAAATTTTAAATGAGGTAAGAATTTTGCTTGCTTTACAATTCAAACCTTTTCATTATTATTATTAAATGAAATAATAAAAAAAAAATACTAAAAGTTTTCTTTTGTGTAAAACTATCTTTAGATATACGGATTTTATAATTGTGCACAAAATTTTTCCAATCGCTGAAAACGTTCTCGAGCTTGAGATTTGAAGAATACGTGAAAAGTAAAATTAGCTTTAAGGACACCAAACTTTGGACGGCTTTCTTGACCAATCCATTGGGACCACATTTCCCTGATTGCATTCCTTTGCATTTCGGGTATCAGAAATCCATCGAAAAAAAGGTATGTTTATTCAGAGAAAGTACGCTTTTGTGTATTATTTTAGAACTTAAAATATCATCTGGACTAATTAATCATCATAATTGAGGTCACCCTTTTGGAACATTAATATTGAGTCGTAGTACAAGAATATCTGATTATTAGATCAAAAGTAAGTTATCCAGGGTACATCGCTTATTTATTTACTTATTTTTTTTGCGTACTGTACCATTACTACTTTTTACAGTAAACTCAAAATTTAGGAAAAAAATATTTGATTCATAATTTAAGAAAATAAAGAACATTTCAGAGGAGTAAAAACAACCATAATTCTGGTTAATAAAATTAAAAAATATGGTATTTGAACCATTTATTAGGTAATTTTTCAGGTTAATATGGTAACGATTGACTGGAAATTTGAATCTTCAAAGTTAAAGTTTTTATTATCACACATTTAGTAAAAATACAAAACTGATGGAGAAATTATCATACGCATTAATAAATTAAAATGCTTTTACAATATTTACAAAAAAGTAAAAAAAAGTTTTTTTTTTAAAAAAATGCGAGTATTGCCTTTGAAGTGTTTCAATCGTTGAATGTTTGTTATATTTCTACACCATTTATGCTTAATAGAACATCTCCATAAAATCTATACAGCATATTTGTCAAATAAATTGAATATTTGTTCATAATAAAAATAAAGTTTATTTTATTAAAATTGCTATCCGTGTCACGCAAATTTATCTAGAATTTTTCAAATAAAAAAGTGGTCTGGCGTGAAAATTTTTATTGTTTTAAACTAATCGAAAAACTGATAATTCTTTCCCATAGCAAAAGAGACAAACGAAACAATCATTAAAAGTAAAAGTAAATAAACAGTATTGAGCAACTGGCTATTTAAAGGAAATTCTTTTCAGTGCTCTTCCAATGCTATTTTCAGCTCTATGTTGAAAAGAGAGGAAGCCATTCAAACGTATACATGGAACGAAGTAAATATTTTAAATATTTCAGTTTCAGGAGAGAAAGGAATAAGTCTAAGGTCAATAGTTAACTCTTAAGAATATAGTGCTTACTTATCTGCTTTTGAGTAAGAAATTTATTCTCTAAATTTAAAATATAATTCGTTATTTTTTTCATATAAACATTTTTTTAAATATATACGTTATTTTTTTATTTCTTCAATAATGAGTGATATTTAGGTATGTAATAACTGATCTTTACGAAAACATAAGGTGTTTTTAAGTTTATTTTGTGGTTGGCAGATGTAAAAAAAAAATACACCTAAAGTAGAAAATGACGTTATGGTCTGCACCAAAAATAATCTCGTTAATAAACCTCAATTACGACCTCATTCATACCTCACAAAATCTGCATCATGTATAATTCAGAAATAATTTTAGTTTAGATCGGGTGAAATTATTCACACCTTAAAAATACGTATTTGCTTGAAGTGCAGAAAAAGTAATCCGTACACCTCAAAAACAACCTCCCTGAGCTGGTTGCTCTAATAAAGATTTCCATCAACCTCAAAACAACCTTAAGTGTGAATAAAAAACAACTTCATACACTTTGATTATACCCCTTGGGAGGTTGATCTTTTAAGGATGTTTTTGAAATCAACTTCGTAAGAACCTCAAATTAAACTTGACACCTCAAAATAACCTCATATTAACCCAAAAAATACCTTACTTTTTTGTAAGAAAGTGCAGTTAAAGCAAAAAATAAAACTGTTTGGAAAAAAGTCTGAATTTGTATTCCCACTCTGCTGATTATATATTTGCTAATACATGGGCAAATGTGCCAAAAAGACAAAAGATCCGTGGTGGCCTAGTGGCTTGAGCGTTCACTATCCAATGAGATGATCTGGATTCAAAGATAAGCGATTGCTGAACGATACGAATTCCGCACCCGGCTCGCACCGCCCACAGTGCTGACAAAAAATTTCCTCAGTGATAGGCGGGTCACAGGTTAGAGCAGTGGTGCACAAACTAGATGTCGCGACCCCTGTGAGGGCCACCAGAAGTTTTTTGGGGGTCGCCAAATTTTTATGAAATGCATTATCCCTGCATGCTGCATACTATACAGTGTACATATAAAGAGTGAAGCGCTATCACTCACTGTTCAATTGCAATTTCATGCTGTCCAATCTTTCTTTGACCGTAATGCGTAATGTATTCTCTATCTGGCTATCCGTGGAAAAACAATATCCCGTTTTATGCAAGAATGCCATCAGAGTGTTAATGCAATTTGCATCAACGTATTTATGTGAAACTGAATTTAGCAAACTAGTTTCAATAAAAACTAAATACCGCTCGCGTTTAAACCCTGAAGATGATATGCGAATTGCAATTAGCAACATACATCCAAACATCGATGAGATAATTAGAAACTTGCAGCCACATACATCTCATTAAAGGGCAATTTACTGATTTTTGTGTCATACAAAAAGTATTTTCTTAAAATTATAAATAAAATTAATATGAGTCAAATATGATGAT